AAAAAAGGTTCGCGGACGGAGTGCTCTCAGGCATTCAAGCCGAGATTGTGACGCTTCCAATGGCAGATGTCATTTGTGAACGAACGGTCGTGAGAAAGCATTAATTTAGACTATTGTCTAGTTCTTGAATTTCGCCAAGAAAGGAGAAAGCTATTGGTGCTTGGAGACATTCCCAGATTCAGACTGTTCTATGCATTGAACAGTTGTGCATTGTTGAGCAGCAGCAGGACACAGAAGATCATTAGCTTATCTTCATGTGAAGCAGAACTACGCGCAATAGTTTCCTCAGCATCAGGTGGACTCTACATTCGAGCAGTTCTGGAATTTGCTCTGGGTGGACCATTACATTTTCACATATTCATCGAGTGCACGCCAACTTGTGATGAAGAGAGGAGTCGGAAAAGTGAGACATTTAGGTGGAACGTTGCTATGGGTTCAGAACAGGAAACATTTCAAGATGGTACACGTACCAAGAGATAGCAACATGGCAGACCTCAACACAAAGCCGCTTGGAGGACAAAGAATCAGATACTTGATGAACCTCATTGGTTACTGGCACAGTGAAGATCAAAAAAGAGTAGTAGATCTTTTGACAGCCTATGGGGTAGATATAAAAGGGTCGTTTAAGACTGTGGAAATCTGCCTGCAAGTTTCTTGTTGGGCAGGTCAACTCTGCCTGCCAGTCTCTGGTTGGAAAGGTCAACTCTCCCTGTCAGTTTCTGGTTGGACAGGTGCCTTTCAGGCTCAAGAGAAAGAGGAGCTTGAGGTTTGGGTTTGGGTTTGAATGCCATGGTCAAGCAAAAACTTCCAGAATGAGAGCCCCTGCTGGGTACCAGCAGATGCTGCCTTGGCAACCTAGTGGCTGGGGCCCCCCCACCAGGAGGGTGGCCTTGGCAGATAGCACACAGAACCTTAACTAATGTCCATGGCCAAAGTTTTCTTTTGTCATGGTGTTGATTTACTATGAATAGTATATAGTTATATTTTGTTTTGGGGGTCTCACCCCACCTAGCTAGGCACAGCTTTACCATTCAATCATCCTGGACCATCCCCGGGGATGAAGAAGATCCAGCCAAAGAGGAAGACAAGCCAAGTGAAAAGGGTTCAGGGGGAAGTAGCAGTACCAGTGACAGGAAGAAAAAGAAACATCAAAAAAAAGAAAAGAAAAAGGCCAGGTGTTCAGGAATCTATATAGTTGCCTAGTGAAATGACTCGCATTGTCACTGCTCAAAGTTTCATTGCTATTATATTTAAACTACTACCTCAGTGTGTGAGGTGAAGGAGAATGAAAGTGATGCTGAAAGTGCTGAGTTGGACAAGCAAAAGATCACCAAACAGAACCTTGCGTGCACCACATATGCTGCAGGCATGTGTATGTATTTAACATTTTTTAAATATATTGCTTAATGCACAAATCATACATATCAAGCTAAGCGTGTGCAGTTTTAGCCAAGGCTTGGGTGGACTACATTGGGTGGCAACTGGATGGACCACACAAACACTAGCAGTGGTCACATGTTCAAGAATTCAGTTGGCCGAAAGGAGAAACTCATATTTTTGAAGCATGTGGCACCAGACCTTTGCCCTGCAGGCTTCACTAGGGAGTTTTGATTTGGATGAAAAAACATTGTACTTTGAAGAAGTGTAGTCAGTTCTGCAGTATCTAATATTAAATTGTTGTGCTGCATTTGGCAGGAAAGAGTGCAAACCTCTCCAACATCCAGGTGGACATGCTCATTTTCATCTTATGTGGCCTGGGGCCTATGACCTTGATCTCTGAATTGAGGGTGCAAACCAAGGGGCCCCTGACACTTACCTTGAAACTGGTGTGTACTTACTTGTACCATTTGTCAACTGCAGAGTTTGGCATAGACTGCGCAATCACCTGGTGTTCCCAACAGTATAGATCCAGTTTGACTGGCTGACCCAACCTAGGAGACAAAGGTTGACGGATGCAGCTGAGAGAACTCGCAACTTGAACCCTCAAAGGTAACTGGGACCACATACTGCTCAGTCTTTGTTACTGCCAGTCATGTAGGCTTTTTTGTAATGTGGACCTACCTAAGGCAGGGGAATGTGCAGGCAGACTATGGCAACATTGAGACTGTGGCGCAAGACCTGGGGTGGGAAGAACATTTCAAGAAGGCAGCTAAGTAGCTTGACTGGGATTGATTGTTTTCTTGCCTGGTGATCTGATCAGTTGAGTTAAATCTGTTTGCAATATATGTTGCACTGCACTGGGTCATGGGTGAATGTTACAGCTTAGGCTGAGAGGACCTGAAAAGCCAACAGGGAAGAATTTGCCATACAAGCTGGTGACCATGCTGCTTGGCCTCAAGCCAAGTGGAGGGCTGTGGCAAACCTGTTCAAGTGTAAGTGTGCGTGGGTTTGGCGCAGCACAGTAGTCTTGAATGTTTGCACTTTTTTTTTTGCACTTTTTTTTTACTACACCCTACTATAGACTTAGTCAAAAACCACAGTGTGGCTCAGGAGCAATGAAAGCATTTGGACCAGACTGATGGGGCATCACATTTGGTAGCACCACCAGGCTGCCCTGTTACTTTGGCTTACAGGGATGGCAAGCAGGTGCTGGCACTGGGCCCTGACTCTGGGGTTGCATTCAGTGATGGTGGCCCTCATTGGGTGATGGTAACCTTAACTAACCCTCATTGCATCCAGTTGAAAGTAACTTAGCTAGAAGGTTTGGTAACTATTGTTAATTATTACTGTATCTAATTCCAGCCAGCAGCAGCAGCCCAGGACACCATCTTGGAGTGTGAGACTGTTTCCAGAACCACCAGTGGCCTGAAGGAGTGGTGGCTTCTTGTCAAGTCACCTGCTGTGCAGTGAATGAAGTGTCCACACACCACAGCAATGGAATATTGAAGGAGTGGTGGCTTCGAGTCACCAAGTATGCTGTGCAGAACAAATATGATTCATGGGCTGTACCTTGGCTTGCTGTGGTTAGAGGCCTGGGGGGTGCCCACTAGCAAAGTGAATCCATTCAATGATTGGCAGTGGCAACAAAAACATGTAAATGTGTACATATAATCAACAGTGTTGGTTCACTGTTCATTCAGAACAAACAAATGTAAACCACAGTGTGACACAGCTAGGTGAACAGGGCCATGCACCCAACTGGCAGGCCTACCTGCTGACAGTTGGCAAAGGGCTCAGCTGCAGGATGCTGAGAAAGAAGTAGAGGGGATCAAAGAGGCTGGCAACCCAGGACTGTTGAGACCAATTCATTCAGTGATCTGGTGAACTGGGCTGTTGTGTCAATCAGGTGGTGGTATTGTTGATGGGGTGGTGAGTGTGCTGCACTGCACTGCATTCTTCAAATAGCTATTATGATTTTTATGATAGTAGAGTCATAAAAAATAGACAGAGAGCAGTTCAGCCAGCAACAGGACCTATGGCTGCAGCAGCAGTATCACCAACAGAGCCACCTGCAACCACCTGTGGGGTTCATCACCATGGCTGATTCATTATTTCCTTATTTTTGTTTGGAAATGAGATTGAGTTTTGTATCTGTAATAGTATGTTAAATTGAATAATTATCTAACTAACTAAATAACTAACTAACTAACTGACTAACTAACTAACTAACTAAATAAACTAACTAACTAACCAACCAACCAACTGTCTAGCTAACTATTTAACTAACTGACTGGTTGACTGACTGACTGACTAGCTAGCTAGCTACCAACTAAATGGCTGACTGGCTACTATACTATTTAACGAACTAACTGCTAATGAATTAAACAAGTAACTAGCTTGCTGAACTAGCTAAACAAGCTAACTAACTGACTAGCTAACTAACTAACTAGCTAAACTGACTGACTGACTGACTGACTGACTGACTGACCTAGCTCACTAACTTGCTACTTGCCCATCAACCAGCTGCCAGGAGGGCAAAGAACACCACCATCAGCATCACAGTCTGAGTCTAGCCCAGCATCAGGGCACAGGGTAGGACTGAAAGCAATTCAAGAGCAGATTGAAGCAAAAAGAAGAAGAGTGGAAGAGATTGCAGCTTCCAGGAAGAAGCAAAGAGCTCAAGATGAAGTGTCAGATGAAGCAAGGATGCAGGAGAAGTTTATGAGGGACATTGAGCTTGCCAAGCAGAACTTGGAGCAGCAAATGAGAGAGGAGTTTCAAGCCAAATATGGCAGGGCACCTACTTCAACCACAGCCCCATCCAGCCCTGATTCTTTGCTGGATGCAAGAACCCTGAGGCTGGGAGCCTGAGGATGACTGGAAGGATGCAGCATTGAGTGAAAGGCAGTTGAAGCTGCAAAGAGATATGGAGACAGAAGCCAAGAGGTTCAAAGCCAGGTCCCCCATGCTTTCACCAACACACAGGGGCAAGAGAGTCCACAGTCCTGAAGCTGCTTCACCAAACCAACATTTGAGGGACCTGATCAATGCCAAGAAAGCAAAGAGGCTTCAAGCTGAGAAAGAACAGGGGGGAAGAAGAGATGAGGATGAAGGCAAGGTTGAGGCAGCAAATGGCAGATGCAGAGAAGAAGAAGGCACAGGCTGCAGAGGCTGCAGCTACAGAGAATGAAAGGTTGAGGAAAGATACAGAGGCAGGGATGTTGAAGAAGATGAAGGAGGATGAGGAGCACTTCATGTGGCTCAAAGAGATTGAGGAGAACAGGCTGAAGCAGGCAAGGGGCATGGCAGCCACATCAGCTGATGCGAGGGCAAAACAGAATGCATGGGCTGCAGAACAGGTGAGGTTGAAGAAGCAGATGGCAGCAGAAGCAGAACAGGAAATGCAAAGGTTGCTCAAGCAGCTCCATGATGAAGATGAAAAAGCAAGGCAGGTGGTGGAGGAGAGGGAGAGGCTGAGGGAGAAGTTTGAAGATGAAAAGACTATGCTTGAGGCAAAGGCTGCAGAGGAGGAGAGGCTGAGGAAAGAGTTGGAGAAGGAAGTTGAAGCAGAAAAGGCAAGGCTTCAGGCACAGGCT